AAAGGAGACACAGGTGAAGAGCCCTGAAAGAATTTCAATTCTTTGCATTGCTTTCTTGGGTTTGGTTCTAAAGTGTATGAAAGACTCAGAAGTGTCTTCTTCCCCAGTTTGTACTGGACTACTCCTCCCAGGTTTTCAAAAACCCCCTTGAAAGACAGCATTTCTGTCCCTGATAGATGGGCACAGACACAGTGCTGTCCTGCAAACTGCTCATCACTTGGCACTGGGCTGTTTTCTGAAGTCTATGAGAGAAACATCTTATCCCCTAGCAGAAACTAAAAGCAAAGTTGGAGTGGTACTCTGACCAGTATTTCAGGATTGGACAGTTGATCACTGACAATAGAGCCCTAGTGGCAAAGTGTAAAATATGCTCATAGTTAACATTTTAAGGAGAAGATAAACCCAAAAGGGAAACAAGATGATAAACTAGAAGTACTGACCCCAAAAGAGGAAAAAGGATGGCCTCCTTGGAACATCCCTCCTTGGCATCTTACCTGAAACATTCTGTCTAGCCTGTAATTGGTAGGCAAGATGTGACTCCCTTCTTTATATGTACAACATGTTAAATTACTTTAGAGTTGTTTTCATAAATACAGCATGCCAATGCTTACTGTCTGATTTTGCCACCTGGGAGCTTTAGTGGTGATGAAGCATCTGAATTTTGAAGGAATTCTGTTAATTAATTGTAATTAGGTTGGAAGGCTGCTGGCACAGCAACATCCTATTCATTACATGTGGCAAAACTCTATAAAAATTTTGGAGCTGACCACAGCTTATCTCACCCACAGTAAAAGTACTGCAGGATACAAAGCGTTGTATAAGGCTGTGTAGCAGACAGCTGTGTCGATACCCAGGTTTAACAGAGAGCAAGCCATGGTAATATTATTCCTTCATTCCCTCTCCTGAGCCTCTTTCAGTCTTACACCTACGTACATATTTTCCGGACCATTTGTTCTATCCTATAACGAAGAACACGATCAAACAGGTAAGACAGTGAGGATTGGAAAAATTTATATATGTCCCATCAGCATAAACAAATACATGGGCTATGCTCAGGAAAGCTCTAAGGCTGCTGGAGCATATAATTAACCTGAACGTGGGCACTATGCATTTAAACAAGTTTGCAAGGGTCACATCTCTTTCTGTACCAGTGTATTCAGAGAGGACACAGCATGCAGTTCAGAACTGCACTTCCAAGCAGATATTTCTTAAGATGCTGTTGCTCTTTTGTGCTTCAGGATACATTTTCATTTGGTCATGACAGCATAACCAGCAATCTTTCTTTTGCTTTCTGTGGGGCAATAACTTTACTGTGCTCTATTAATTAAAGCTATGGGTATTATTAAGTGGAATGGTTGCTGAGAGTATGAAAAAAAGCATTGCTACATTGACAGCAAAGAGACTGTTGTGAGTTTTAAGTGGAGATTTGCTAGAGTGGGTTTTTGAAGTTCAGGATCAGTGTAAACAAAATATATTCACCTGATACCTGAAGAAATATCTGAACAAGAAAGACAAAGCAGGTCCTGAGTAAGGAAAACTTTTGCAAGTATTTCAGCTGCTTGGGTGATTAAAATATATTACTCCAACATGAAACTGAGAACAATTATTTTAATAGTTTAAGAAGTTCATTCAACTTTAGAGTTAAGTCTGGTTTGATGATTAAAATACAGGGTAAGGAACCAGAAGACACAAAGTCTATTTTCAGCATTACCACTGACTCACTGTGTGATATTAAGCAAGCCACTTAATTTAACTGTCTCACTCTCTATCTCACCTGTAAAATGAGGGAGCCTACCTCACAAGCTCTTTGTGGGATTAATTAATTAAATATTTCCTGTGCACCTAACGTTTCTTGGATATAAGATGCTGGAAAATTTATTTTTTAAGATATATATAAACAGGATACAAGAGCAGAGTTAGGTGGCTTCTATAAAGGAAATTCACATCTCTTTCATCTTTGGATCTTTTAAGCATGACAATGAAATAATTAACTACAGGACCTGTTGGTCACCAACCCGAGTGAGCTAATTGATGACATCAATATTGGAGGCAGCCTGGACTGCAGTGATCATGCACTGCTGGAGTTCACAGTCCTCAGGGATATGTGTTAGCTGAAGAGCAAAGTCAGGACTCTGAATTTATGGAAAGCAAACTTCCAGCTCTTCAAGGAGCTAGCAGCAGGAAACTATTGTCCCCTGGGAAAATGCAGCTGGGGACAAGGGAGCAGAACAGAGCTGGCAGATCTGGATGCTTTCCATAGAGAGTAAGAGCTCTCAATACCCAGGTGCAAGAAATCAGGAAAAGGAAGGAAAGAGAGCAGCATGGCAGAGTTGAGACCTGCTGGTCAAACTAAAGGGCAAGAAAGAAATGCACAGGCAGTGGAAGGAAGGACAGGTATCCTGGGAAGATTATAGGCACTCTGCCCAGTTCTGTAGGGATGGGGTCAGGAAGGCCATGACACAGCTGGAGCTGAACTTGGCAAGGGATTCAAAGAATAATAAGAAAGGCTTTTACAGGTCAGCCAGAAAAGTAAGGTCAAAGAAATCATATTCCCCTGATGATCAAGACTGGAAAACTGGTGACAACAAATGAAGAGGAGGCTGAGGTACTCAAGACATTTTTTTCCTCAGTCTTCACTGGCAAACTCCCCTCCCACACATCTTGAGTGGATGGCCAGTAGGATGGGGACTGGAGAAGAAGTTCAGGTTTGTGAACTTCTGAGAAACCTGAACATTTAAGGGACTATGGGACCTGATGAGAAGTTGTCAAGTCACTCTCCATGATATTTGAAAAGTCACAGCAGTCAGGTGAAGCACCCATTTTTAAGAAGGGTAGAATGGAGGACTCTGGGAACTACGAACCTGTAGTCGGGAAAATCATGGAACAGATACTCCTAGAAGCTATGCTAAGGTACATGGAGGACAGAGAGGTGATTTGGAACATTCAACATAGCTTCACAAAGGGCAAGTCCTGATTCATCAACCCAGTGGCCTGACTACATCACATATTCTAGGATTCTCAAAGTGTGAGTGAAGCCCTTTAAATGAGTTTATAAATTGAAAAATAGCATAGCTACAAATTAGACAGACCAAACTATAAGTAAGAATAAAAATATATCATCACTCTTCAGTAGAGTACAGAATTGAAAGAATAAAGTGAGTTTTTTCTATGATGTATAAGCAAATTTACATCTAATGGAAGTGAAAGGCAACAATTTAAACATAGAGAAATGGAATAATATTCTTTTTTTAAAATCCCACAGTTTTTAACTCATGACCACACATCACTATTGGCTGGAGCTAGTGAATTCAAGAAACAAACATTTCCATGGAAATGTGAATATCCTCTGTGATATTCTATTAAGTGAAAGAGTTACAAATCCCTTGTGTTGCACAGTAAAAACCAACTACTAACTGATAGGCATATAAAAACATCTCCTGTGAAACCTATTTGGCAGTCGATGTCTCTGGACTTACTTGCAGCTGTATCAGAAGCACCTGGTACAGGTCACTGGCAGAGGCAGAACCCTGGAGTAAGTGGACTAATGGTCACCTCTAGTACAGCAATCCCGATGCTACTGAGGCCAGACCAAACAGCAGACAGCATGTCTTGAGCATCCTTCTGCTTTTACCGTAACTGTGTTGTAGAAAACATCAGGTTTGTTGTCATAAAATTAACTACATCAGCAACAGAAGAGGGTCCAGCAGCTTTTAACCTAAGAGTTTTTACCTCACAATGCAGTTTAGCAGACAAAAAAAAGCCATGTGTTTTACTAACACTGTGCTATGACCCTATGAAGGAGCCTATCAAAACCATAGTGAACAAAATGAAAATAAATAAAGCTGTGTGATCAAGGAGATAAGAAAAGGTTATGTATTTCCTGTACAGTTGCTTGCCTCACCAAAAATTTTTTTGGGGAGCAAGGACAAAATTTATTTGCATATTTTTGAAGCCGGTTACTGTTATCTTAAATATTCACAAAAATATCACAGCTGCTTTCTGTTGGTTCCATTCAAACTAGATTGAGGCCTTTATGTAAAGCATGGTCATAAAACTTTTACAACTTTGGAATGAAGTTAGTGTTTAGTATTCTGCCAGGATAACATGCACAATAAAATTCAGATGTTCTATATATAAATAACTTCTGCAATATCAACTGGTGGATATAAATGCAAGTCATTTATTTACTTTCATTATAACATTTGTTATGCTGTGAATTCTGGATCATACAACATTATTCATAACTATAAATATAACTATATTGCTGATATAGTTAACAAGTTACTACCAAATTAGCATTTCAGAGACATCTAGACAAAACCTTAAGCCCTCCACCAAGAATGGTAGAGCGTTTAGCTCTGCATTTCAGAGCTAAAGACCAAGATGGAGAAGTGCAGAAATAACACCACCGCCACCACAGGTTATGTAGTTATACTAAAAAGAGTCAGTGACTCACTGTCAATGTTTACTTGGCCTGTATGCTTTAGGGATGAGTGGAGATTAGTGAAGAGAACTAGCTCTTTTATTCTCCTTTTATTTTGCTTATTACTAGCTCACACTACTGCATTCCTTAAATCAAACCAGATAAAGAATAAACAAGAGGTGCTTGTCACCCAGCATTAATACAGTGCCATGTGGTCACTCACAGCTGTTTGTGTGTACATTTTATCAGCTGGTTTTTTCCTGTCTGTCTATCCCCAACAACTGGGTGTGTTGCCTGGCACAGCACATGTACCTTAGCCCTTTCCTACACCAAACCCACACCTTTAATCCAATCTCTGCACCCCAAATGCCTCTCATGTTGCTGCTGTTCCTCTTCTCACCCCAGATGGGCCAGGAAACTCCCTTCTCACTTCTCACTGTGATTAAATAATGACAGCAAGTTCTCCTTTCACTTTGTGTCCCAAACCGCACACACACGTCAATATATAGAGAAGTGATCTTTCTCCAATGCACCTTTACAAGCCAGATAAATTGTTGCTCTCTTACCTGATACTCACTGTGCTTAAAGGGCCTTTCGTCCTAGAGCAGCAATTCCTTAAGGAGCATGAATTAGGCAGGCAGGAGGACGGTGGCAGAGGTAGCTCCACTCTAGTATTACAGACCAATTCACATGATGACTGTAGCTGGACTCCTCCTAGTGCCTCAGAAGGCTACAAGAAAAGGGAAGGGCTCAGGATATGATATCATGCACTCATTCTAAAAACAAGGAAACTGTTGTAGATGACTGGAAAAGTAACAGCTTAAAAATTGCTGAATGGCCAATAACAAAATATTACTTTTCTGATTCATGTTCCCTACCCTTTCCAGTGAAAAGTTTCAATAAATACAAATTACAAACTTAGAAAACTATATTTACATCATTACTAGGACTAGCCTAAGAGACCTATTACAGCTGAGTCACCTCAGAGCATTGCTTAGTGTTGCCTGGCGTTCTCTGTGTTTGTGTCAGACCTCAAGCTCTGAGCTTGTTACCAGGTCTGTTCAGGCAAATGTGCCTGTCCCTGACACAGCTGGGTTTGTGTAAGCACCAGGGACACACATGTACCCACTCCTTGCCAGTATCCTGACTTGTTTATTGCCTTTTTCAGGGAAAGTAAAGCACCTAAGAGATTTAAGAAAACAATTAATATTTTCTAAAGCAATGTAAGCAAACAGGTTTTTAAATCTCATGGAAACTCCACGTGATTTTGTGCAGATTTGTAGGGGTAAGTTTTACTCCTTAGATCCTTTTCTAATTGGAAGCCTGCTTTAATGTAATAATCCATTTACAGGGCTGTATTATTATAAATTTATTTCCCAAGTCATTGTTTACAGCCTTTAAAAAAGAAATTAATAAACATTTGAAGCAAAGCAGATGTCCTAACTCAGCACAATTGTTCTTAACCTGGATTTAGCTTTGAAGTTTTCTGGTTTTATTTCAGATCCGAAGAAGCACCTGCATGCCTGGAAGCTTGTCTGTTCTTTCCAGCTTTATCAATTGGTCTAACAAGCCCCTCATTTTTTCTTTCAAGTTACCAGGATAATTTTGTTTCTGTTGTAATCCCATAAAACACACGGAGGAAAATTTAGCCCAGCCTTCAAGCATGCTACAGTTTTATGTTGTGTTAGGAATTGCTACATTCTCTGTTACAGCAGTCATTGTGCTTGCCTTTCAGATTTCTTTTTCTGTGTTAAAAATTTCCTGTGATTACTTTTCTTGTAATTTATCCCAGATTCAGCATTAAGGCCACCCATGATATAATATTGTTTATCGTCATTTTTCCTGTATTGGCTTTTAGTTTAATGGCTTGGATTTGGGGGACTTTATCATATTAAATTGGTTTAGTGACTGAGCATTTTATGATTCAGTATTTGTCAGTACCCTTCTACTGAGCTGCATAACAGGGTGTTGCTCTTACAACTCTATTGTTTAAAAGTAAATATTCTGCTGCCAGATTCCTTGTTCTGTTTGTGCCCTTTGTTAGTGGACTTTCAATTTCAGGAACTCGTTCTATTTAAGAAGATAGTGAACAAACAATACTTTATAGTATAATATTTATTAAACAGATGCTGATATTATCAATGCTTGTTTATCTGGTGGTGATGCATCTCCCAAATAAACCAGCTGTAGTAGTAAAATAAACTTGACCACAGAAGCATTTTCCTCATAAAGATTTTAGGGATTTTTTACCTACTTGTGCTTCAGGATCAAGGATCTTGAGTGTGCAGTAAGGGGCAGTGGCATCTCAAACAGAAACTCTTTGTGAGGTTGAGGAGCGTGGCTAAAGATCACTAATACCTTCACTTTTGTAGAATTTAGGAAGTCCTTCTCAAAAACCGAGATACAGTTTACATTTATGTTTCTGTTTCTCAACATCTTGTAGTAAACCTGGATAGCGGAGTAGTTTGGAGCTTGGAAAAGAGCTGGAAGGGATTTATAATATGGGGAAATGAGGTAAAGCCAAGATTTTAATTTTATAGTAGGAGAGACAAGGGTGAGCAGGAGTAAAAGGGATCATGGCAGGGAGAAAAGAAAGGACTGTTTCACAGGTCAGACAAGGTTGTGTGTGGGAGGATAACTTGGATGATGAGAAGGCAGCAGGACCATAACTACCTCCTGATTTGGGTACCTCTTACAACCCTAAATGAATCTTCAAGACTGTGTCATAGTTAAAAATATCTTGCCAGTTCTGGCTTGAAGTTGATTACAGGAGCTTCCAGATCATTTTGCTCTCTTAGGCTCCCTGTGCAATTTCAGCTGGATAGTATACTTCACATTTAAGACAGTGCTGATATTTTGGTCTGCTTCTGTTCTGTTCCAGAGAAAGTTGCCTTTTGGGAGAAAAAGCTACAGGTCCTGCAGCATGCAAACATAGGCAACACATAACATTTATACATGGATTTGTTCATAAATAACTCCAGTTTCAATCACAAATAATTCTCTTAAAGATCACTGTACTAAAATATGCCTTATAAATACATGCAAAAATTTTTCTTCATGACAATACCAAGGAGTTGATGCAGTGATGAGAAATTTTACTAGTGAGCAGTAGAAAACATTTTCCAACACTGATAAAAAGGAAGAACAGAAATTGAAGAAGAATTATTTTCCTTTGCTGATTATTTAATTGCTCTGGAAAATACAGTGTGATTGTTAAAACTGCTGTCAGGTGTACAGGAGCAGTGCTGGCAGCAATTTTGTTTTGCAATAGCAGAACGCAAAGAGGAATATAGATGTGTGAAAAGAGGGAAAAGATCTGTAAGAAGGGTGAGATCTGTTTGTATCCCTAAGAACTGAAGTCCAGGTGATTTAGAATAGGAAATCATTTTTAGGGATGTAAACATGTTAACTGACGATTCCTCCCAATACTGTTGTGAAGCAGGGAAAGATTATGCCTTGTTTTGACAGATGGAGGAACACGGACAGAAAAGGCTGAGTTCTTACCAGGAACTTCGCCAGCTTCTTTCAAAGTAGTTTCCAAGGAAGATCTTTCCGTTCAGAAAGCTTGAAGCTACAGAAATCTCTCCAAGTTTCCCTCCATTATTATGGGAGGACAGAGATGGTCATTGGTGTTGAAGGTGCTGGCCTGGCCTTTTTTTGAGCTCTGACTGGATTATAATCTGAACAAAGAACAAGCAGAAACAACCTTTTCTCTATGGTGACTCACTCTGCCAGAGGAAGATTAGTGAACGGAAATTTGTGTCTGCCTGTCCTAGCTAGTAAATATGTACCCATCCCTGCACAGGGCCAGGGGCAAAGCACCAGGGCAGCAGGAGTGGAAGCCTGAGTTGAGTAGTCACAGTTTTTTTGCTGTTGGCACTCCAGCATTAACAGAAGTAACAGCAGAGGAGTCCTAGGCTGATTTCCAGCATTATGACAGACCTTACCCTTGAAAGATGTCAGGTGCTCAGTCTCAGCTCTCGCATTTACCCTTTCTGCTCACAGTCTGAGCAAGGCATATTCCAACCTTTTCCCAACACACTCTTGTCACTTAATCTCAAGTGTAACAGGACTGTTAATTTTTTCCAGATCTTTTCACAAGAGAAATTATTCAATCTAAACCTCATGTAACTTCAGGTTCCTTTTGTACTGCCCTATTAATCAGTAAAGTGGTAATGTGGTAACCAGAACTTCACAGTGGCAAAGGTAGGTAGAGAAGCAAGAAGCCATTACCTTCTATATTTAATAAATATTTGTTAAAATCCAGTCTGCTTCTTTTTCTTCATTCTGGTCATTAACCACACTTGCATCAGGGTAGTTCATATAGTCAGCTGTACTTTGGCTTTGCCATTCCTTTCCAGAAGTTTCTGAAATAGAGAGACTTGATTATTTGCCAGCTAAACAAACTTCAGCTCATTTTTTCCTCGTACTGATAAATCCAGTTTGAATGTTGCCAGCAACAGGCTTTTGGTATATCTATACTCACATCCTGAATGTAGCCTTCACAAGAGGTCCAAACAGAAACATCCTTTGGAAGATCTCATCATGGCAACTTCTCTCTACAACGAACAGTTGCTGAAACAAATATGGAGATAAACAGGATCACAACAACATAACTTTGTGCCTGCTAGTGCACCTGAAACTTCAGGAGTTTAAAACCTTTAAACTCAATCACATAAATAAAGGCTGCTCATACCTCTCTATAAAGAAGTATTTTAATTAACCTTAATGATCCAGGGGCTAAGAAATACTCACTGTGTCACTCATTGATCACAATACATGAATGAAGTTCCTGCTTCCAGTGTACCTTATTTCATCAATCTCTGTAATTTCCCCCCACAACATCAGCCCAAACCACTGGGCCCAGTCTCTCTATTCCAAGTTTCTAATGCAATCTGAGTAGTGTTTAAATAACTCTTCCTATCTCATTTTCATGGTGCACACAGAAGCCAAGAATCCCTTTCTGAATCCTGGCATAGGGTCTTCAGAGGGTCTCCACATGAAGCTGGGAGTGGGGTGTCAAATTGGGAGAGTCCTTTGCTGGCTTATTCACGATTTCCTTAGCTTCACCAAGGCTTACAAGATTCTAGTTTAGCCTGTTCAGAAAGGAAAGGCAAGACAAAACCCACTCAGCTAGCAAAACATTTTCTTTGTCATCACTTCTTATACTTAAAAAAACCCTCCCGAGTTACACATCTTTGTGAAATAACAAGTGATTCGTCTTTTCCCAGCCTAATCTCACTCCTGTGGCTTCCAGGTTTTATCAGCATTTCAGGTGAGACAGAATGCCTCCTGTTGCTCTCTCCAGATTATCTGTCTGATGATTTTCTCTCATTTTCAGAGAAGCCTCCCTCTTTATAGGTAAGCTGCCCTCTTTAGTCATACGCCCCAGCCAAAATACTTCAGCTCTTGAATTTGTTGTTTTGGGAGTTAGGATAGGAATGGGAGACATTCAGAGGTAACAACTCTTGACTGCCTGATGTTGGTCTCTCAGTTTTAGTTATTGCAGGTCGAGAGGCCAAGCACTGTCCCTGGTCTGAGCAGTATAACAGACTTAGTCCATCCAGGCTTTCAGTATGTACTGGAAGACAGAATGGCAAACCTAATACAAATATGGGCTCACAGTACAAAGCCAGCATATAATTCAGTGCAGACATTTTTGCTTCTCTTAAGTGCACCTCATCTTTTGTAATAAAAGCTATTGGG